AAAAAAAAAAAAAGACCTGCCTGAAGGAAAGGAGAACCATTTTATTTTTGAAAGAGAGAGCGAGCGAGCAGGAGCAGGGGAGGGGCAGAGAGGGGGAGACACGGGATCTGAAGCAGGCTCCAGGCTCCCAGCCGTCAGCACAGAGCCCGACGCAGGGCTCGAACTGAGAGTTGTCCGCTGGAGATTGGCAACACGGAGGTGATCATGATCTTGACAAAAACAGTCTTGGTGAAATAGAGGGCGCGAGACCCGATGGGAGTGGATTCAAGAAGAGACCGGGGCTTCAATCAAAATAATTGCACTCGCAGGCGCCTGGCCGGCTGGATGGAACGCACGACTCTCGATCTCGGGGTGGTGAGTTCGAGCCCCACGTTGAGTGGGCTTAGAGCTGACTTGAAAAAATAAATAAAAAGAGAATCGGAGGAAAGGAATTGGAGTCAGCAAGAATAGGGAACTCCAGAAGGTTTGCTTAAAATGCAGGGAGATGGAAAGTAGCTAAAGAGAAAACAGGACCGTGGGTTGGTTGGTTGGTGTTTTTCTCCCTGTAAGATAAGAGAAATAGAATGATTGTTTGCTACTGAGTCTCTTCTATGTGTTGTTGGGGTTGTAAGGATTGTATGAATCAAAACATGGCAAGTGCTTGGAACTGTTTCCAGCACGTAGTAAATGCTCAATAAATATTCACTGCTAGTTTTGTTATAAAATTATTGTTAACAAATAATACTTATCCTGAAAGCCTAAGAGTTTCAATTACAAAATTATTGGGTTTAAAAAAAAAAGAGTTTAATGTTTGTTTATTTTGGAGAGACAGAGAAAGAGACAGAGCATGAGCAGGGGAGGAGCAGAGAGAGAGAGGGAGACCCAGAATCCGAAACAGGCTCCAGGCTCTGAGCTGTCAGCAAGGAGCCCAGCACGGGGCTCGAACTCACAAACTGCGAGATCATGACCTGAGCCAAAGTTGGACTGGACGCTTAACCGCCTGAGCCACCCAGGTGCCCCACAAAATTATTGGTTTTAATGAGATCTCAGTAAGATAGCAGGCTAT